AAGAAAGCATCTTGCTTCTTCATGTTCTTGTTCAGTCATGAGATGGGAGGGCTGAGATTAGAATTTGTTTAAGAAGTTGCTGAACTTCCATTTGATAATTGCAAAGCGAGAGATCCTGCACTCCAGTAGCTTGAATTGGGCTGATGTTTGATCCATCTCTGCCCCAGAGGAAGGGGAGAGAGACAGCCAGCACACCCTACTGTAGATAAAGCCTATGGGAGCTGATCACCTCTTTTTGTGGGGAATGGAGGTGGTGATGGCATTAGAAATTCTCTGGGGGTGAGAATGGGGAGTGGACCTTCCCTCAAATAATCAAAAGAGAGAGTGTGAGGAGGGGAGGTGTAGGAGGCATGAGACAAATGAACACAGGAGGGCCGCACCCCAGCCAGCAGTCAAGAGGGAGGGCAGAGAGCTATTTTCCCTTCAAGCTTTCATTATTATTACAAGTAATAATAATGAAAGCTGCTCAGGCCTTCGCTTTTGAAAAAAAAAAACCAACAAAATCCATCAAATGCACATGTATCGTGACACTTGCTCTAATGTATTGTATGGGATTGTCATAGAGCCATCTGAACAGTTAGGTAGCTATGTGGCAATTAGTTGATTAACAGACAATCACAGATACACAGCGAACAAAATAAGTGATAGGTTCAGAATAGTTTTGGTCTTTGTTCCAAGAGGTGGGATTACTGCAAGGAACTGTACACTTGTGACTACAGGTTGAACTTCTCTAGTCCTGCACCCTTGGGACCTGAGCGGTGCTGAACCAGAGAATTGTTGAACCATGGGAAGTCAATACTGTCTAGCAGCATTACCAATGCTTCCACTGCTTACTGGGCTCTTAGAAGACATTTAGGGATAACTTAAGAGCTAAATAACAGCACAGAACACGACTGGTGGCTGTAAAACTTTATGGAACCACGGGAAACTGCCACGCCCTTGATAAATGTACATCTGACTAACTAAAATCATCCTGCACTGTGGATGTTGCCGGACCAAAGAGTGCTCTGCCATTTCCTTTTTCCATCCACAGTCAACAGCAGCCACCCCTCCATCTTCTGCTCATGATTGTCCCATCTTTACATAAATGAGGACATGGAGAATGGATCGGGCTGATATAATAGTCATAACACCCTGAACTGTAATGAGCTTGAGCACATGATTAATAGTCTTGTAAATTGGAGCCTCAATCATGCCAAACATGTAAGATATGGAACATCTGGCAAGAAACCACTGCAGGGTTAAGGCTATTACCCAATTCAGAAAGGCAAGTTCTGTTTTTGTAGATGTATGAGATACACAATATAAACACATCTAATTCTTTGAAAAAAGTCTGTGTACCTGACTTAGTAATCACATTCATTCTGAATTTGCCAAAGGCACCAATAAATGAGTAAGATGCACATTATCTTTGCGAAAAAGTCTCTAAGGGGTAGCTGTGTTAGTGTGTAAATTTAAAAACAACGAGTAATCCTGTGACACTTTAGAGACTAACAAAAGCATATACAGTATCATGAGCTTTCATGGGCAAAACCCACTTCTTCAGAAGCTAACAAAAAGGGGAGATGTTCCCAACAGCCTTCAGTTCCTTCCCTAACATGAGAATTCTTGTCCTGAGACGCCAGAGAAATGGAGAAGGTGGGTGGAGGTGCATCTATAGAGAGGTGACAATCTCATCCAAGAGCTACCAGAAAGTAACCTCTCTTTCTTCTTCAAGTGGCTCCTGACTATTCCTATTCATGAGAGATTAGTGAGCAGTACAACCCAATAAGAAGGCAGTTTGAGATGTGGTAGGTGAACAAGACCCTTTTGAACCACCAGGCCCCAGGGCAGTTGCTCCCTTTCTTCCCCTTTCTCCCATCAGCAGGCCCAGAACAAGGACCGCAAAACTCCCAAATGAGCATTAGCTCTGGATGGCAGGCAACAAAGTGCTGGAAGTGACGTCACTTTCACTCTCCCAGATGAGTCCTCAATAAGCAATCGGCTTTTGATTCAAGTACAAACAGACCTTCATTAAGAATCTTGCAAATTCTATGAAGATAGACGGCCTAAAATTGGTGCTGCCATCAGATTAGTTGTGCACCTTTTGATAGGTCCAGGTGAATGAATGCCTGGCAAAGCATAAACAAAGTTATGAAGGAGACTTGGTAAAATACAGAGAAATTAGTGGCCTGTTTAGATGAAAAGAGTGAAGTCCTGCGGAAATGCAGAGGAGGACACCAACTAAATCACGCTTCTTATAGGGACTACAGAATATTGGGAAATTGGCCCATCTCTCCATGAACAGCAGCAAGGGACTAATACTTTCTTTCCAGCCCAACTTTATGTTGCAGATAATAAATAGCAAATGAGAGGTCACAAGATCTTTGTGAAAGAAGACTGACAGCAAAGCAACTGAGATAGCTGCCATTGGGATAGTCTTTATAAGACTAAGTAAATACAATCTCTTGTGTTTGACTTAGGCTGTGAGCATCACGTTGCTTTAAAAAAAATCCAGTTTTGGCACACAAAAATCACTCCGATCTCTCCATACATAACAGAAAGCAGCAGTGAGATTAATCAACCTATCTAGGTTTTAAAACTAAAACAAAATAATGCTCTGACAATTTAATTTTTTAAAAGATACTACAGTAATATGTAATTATCAGTGAGTGTACTTTAAAACAGATGAGATTTTTAATGTATAAAATAATTTATTAAAAGGCTGAAGGCTTCGTATGTCATGTTCCAATGAGGAGCTCAATTCTATAAAAATATATAAAAATTATTTTAAACAAATTTTTTAAAAATAAGACTTAAGGCAGAGTCTTAATCCCAAGAAAACTGATGGCCAAATTATAGCCTTCCTAAATAACAAGCTTTATAATGGAAAAGCTGACAAACTCTTATTGATATAGCACTGCTAATGAGCGCCTTTATTACATTCCGAAGGTACTATATACAGGTACCTATAAGAATGTAATTTACACTACCATACAACTGGATTTCAAGTTTTTTCCGTGACAAGTAGAGAGTGATTTCCATATGTGGTGCTTAGAATTTCTGTCTAAACTATGTCTAAATCTTCAGAGGTAAGTGACATCATCCACACTGGAACCAGAATTAGGAATGTGGTCTGAGTACAAGCCAGGCTTTCATAGTCTAGATATGTTGTTGGATAAGCCCCCTCCTTTGTCAGCTCCAAAAAAAGCTGACAAAAGCTGGCAGCATAATTAACAAAAGACCTTCAAAAACTGGCAGTTTTCCATTCACCTTGTAATGCAGGTGCATTATTTGGCATATTCTTCAAAACCACATCTAAAGTAAAATCTTAGTTCATAATATAATTTGCAAAATTATTAAATTTGATCTCAGGTTTACAATATGTGTAATTACTAACACCCTCACAAGTATATTTGAAAGATAATCTGGTTGCAGCATCAGCGTGGAGTTCATCATAAGGCATTCCCATTCTTTGGTAAGCATATGGAAATTCTTGTTCAATCATTTCTGGATCATGCATGTACTGAACTTTGAGCATGTGAACAGACTCTGAGTGAACGGAGGACACCTCCACATGCTGATGTAGGACAAGGTAGCACCTATCCCTCACTTTGAAGTAGGAAAGCAATGGTATAAAGTGCAGAAATAGTTCTATCACCATTTCTGGGCCATTTGCTTGGACCAGTGTTTCCCAATTGGTGCTCCGGGGAACCCTGGGGTTCCGCGAAGCAAAACTAGGGGTTCCGCGAGGAGCCAGCACTCCCCCGCCCCCTCTGAAAGAAAGAGAGAGCTGGCTAGCCAGGAGAGGCATGGGCAGCAAGTTGTATGGGCTTGTGGTGCCCATGCTCCACCAATATTTGGAGCTGCAGAAGGCCCCAGCCTCCCCCGCGCTTCCTCCCACTCTGACCCCAGAGCGTCTCTCCCCTGACCCCGTCCCTGTCTCATCCCTGCCGTGCGCAACCTTCACTGAGCTCCCCCTTGCTGGCTGCTGTTGCCCTGTGCAGCTTGCTCAAACCGGAAGGCAGGGAGACACCCAGGTGTGATGTAATGTCATGACCCGGGATTTTAAAACTGCTGGGTGCTGCATTGCTCCGTGTGGCTGAGTTGCAGGTTCAGAGTCTGGGGA